AGTTTGTCACAGCCCCTCGTTTGTTGTCCTCTTCTCTCTCTCTGCCTACGGTTTACCGGGCAGTTCTGTTTGTGACGATATATATATATATCTGGTGTGGGTGACTGATAGTCTATTTTGATTTTGGTTAAGGTGGATTATCACTTACAGTGTAATCAGTGAGGGGATTCTACAGACTGTTGAGGGTTCAGCCTCCTGATGAGTCGGTGAAACTCCGACGAAACAGTGTGTCACAGCCCCTCGTTTGTTGTCCTCTTCTCCCTCTCTGCCTACGGTTTACCGGGCAGTTCTATTTGACGATATATATATGTGTGTGCAAGGAAGATGAGCAGTAAAGAACTTCAGCAATCCAACAGCATCATACACATGAGACCAGATAGTCGTGACCTCGAACCAAAAGCAGAATTGCATCACGAGTTTCACCAGATAAGAACACACCAAAAGCTCATAATTGACAATGCTGGAATAGTCTCATCATCATCATCATCAACGAAGAACCAATGTTGATATCCTATCTGGCGCTCGGAGCCCAGACTACAGATGGCAGATCCTATCTAGCCTACTCTACAATGCCGTTGATGACGTCAACAGCTCCCGAAGTACGAGCAGATCTCGGCCAATGCCGCACGCTTCAAGCACCAGGTATGTCTCTCGTATCACTCACAACCTCGTTCCCCAACTCACAGATGCCACTTGCACCCAAGGACCACCATGCGCCCTATCCAGCATACAGCAGCGCATCTCTGCTATGGCTGCCTGCCCCTTCCAGCTCGCCCGTGAGCGCGTGAGCCTGGCAGGCGATAGCGCAGCAGCGCTTGCGCACAAAGCAGCCAGTGCCCGAATGTCCAATGCGGGGGCAGGCCCTTCTCTATATCGAAGTGGCCTGCTGCTGCGTGCCTTCGGGAGGTACTGGGCCCTGTACCAGAAGCTTCCGGTAGGCCCCACGAAGCTGAGCCTCAGTCCGAAGTAACAGGCCCAGGGCCTGTGTCGGTTACCAGCACCCAACTGCCCTCAGCCTTTGTTCGGTCCACTTTGTGTATCCGGCCGAGGGCCTGCCTCAGTTACATGCAATGGAAGGCAGCCTGGGCCTGGGCGCTTCCAACCAACTGGCACTGCGCAACTGCCTGAATTTCCTCAGTTGCGTGGTGACCCCAAAAGTGGCCTGTAGGGCCTCAGTTGTGCCTGCCTTCACTTAGGGCAGCCGATACTGTGAAAAATATGCCCTGTAGGGCATGTCGAGGCCCTATGCCTCGCATATATATATATATGGATTCGAACTTGAGTCTGATTCATATTTCAATTTTCAGTTCAGGTTTGTACCAACTGACCTAGGCCCGTTGGTCGACGGTCTTTTTTTCTCTGTTTCCTTTTTTGTCCATATTGACCAAAAAAAGAATGCAGTATGTAGTATGTACTCCATTTGACTTGACGCCGTTGCCGGTGGAAAAGGAAGCGAACTGATGCTCCCCAGAATGGACGCGGTGCCAGAACCTGACGGTGCTGGTTTCCTTAAAAAGAAAAAAAGAAAAAAGGTTCAAGAGCAGAAAGCTCAGGAGTGTCCTTTGAGATGTGTTAAAAGTGGAGCGATAAATAGAAAAAGTCTTGTGCAAGGAGGAGACCCAGGGGATGGGGCCAAGGATTAGCATCGTTCCCAGGGCACGGGTTGATAGCTACTCCTGGGCCCGGGTCGATAGCATCGTTCCTGTGGAAGGATGACACAGGCATCAAGGACTGGCGGAAATTTCGGGGGGTGGATAACGGGCCCTGGGCGATGGGGCTGGCTGTGATTGTCCGGCTGACCGGGCGGGACAAGGTCCTGGGCCGTGTCCCGTCAAAGAACTGTTAACTAGGATGTAATGAACCCAGTCTCGTAGAGAAGCCAGACAACAATGCAATAATAGTTCTGAGCGCGGCGCACCTCATGATGTTCCCAATATCAATTATAAGTCCCTGTCTCGATCGTATGCATAACTAAAGAGTCCCGTCTCATCAAAGAAGAGCATAAGAGGAGGGAGAGAGGAGAGAAAAGACAGAGAAGAGAAGGAGGAGAGCCACAATGATAATCAATAGTACATGTGTACGTTTCTCTCTCTCCCCAACTTCCGCTTCGGGCTTCACCCCTATCGCCACCTCAGCAATGTGCGTTCCCTCTGACGTTCTCTGACATAATCACTTGTGCCGACCATTACATGGCGCCCATCCTCCCTCCACATCAGCAATCAAGAATGGAGGATGGCGCTGTACCTCCTTACTTTCTTGGAGAGCAGCAGCAGATCACGTGTTCCGTCGCCAGGTATGTCCAGGTAAGCTTCCCCACATCTCCCATCAGTCTCACATCCCTGATCCTCCTCCTCCTCACCAATACTCATCACCCATTCTACCTCTACGCGTCGGCCCTCGCGTGAACGAGGGCCCTCCTGGCCATGTCACGCAGGAGTTAAATAAAAAGAAAACCAAACTTGAGAGACAACTTGAGAACGATGCAAAATAATTCCCGCAAACCGCTGAAATGGGTGCGCGGTCGCATCGTTCCTTCGCCGCTCTAGCCGGGTGCGCCAGCGGTACATCCCTAAGGGTGGTGACAGCCCCTTACGGAAGCAAGCTTATGCCCCACGGGAACCTATCCTGCCGTAGGGGACCGCGGGATGTACCGCTGGCGCACCCGGCTAGAGCGGCGAAGGAACGATGCGACCGCGAACCCGTTTCGGCGGCTCGTGGGAATTATTTTGCATCGTTCTCAAGTTGTCTTTCAAGTTTGGTTTTGTTTTTATTTAACTCCTGCGTGACATGGCCGGGAGGGCCCTCGTTCGCGCGAGGGCCGATGCGCTCGACAGCGGCTATGGTCGTGCCAACATAATCGCCCTCCCGGCCGGCGCCCACTTCCAGCATCTGGCGCCAGAATCCCGCTCCAGCAGCCTCGCGACACAACACTAGCATCAAGCCAGTGCATGGCCTCCCCAGTGGCTGGTTCAACGTTTTATAGCGTTGACTCACCTCACATTGACCAGCCTCAGCCTCAAGTCAACTGATGGTCCAGATCGCCTGGCAGTCAAGGGCCCGGATGCAGCGCTGTCCCATCTTCTTGCTGAGTCCCAAATGAACCGGAATCTTCTTGATACCTGCAGACAGCCGTTGAGATGCATCTGATCGATGGTCGTGGTGGACTCCTAGGTGTTGAGTTTGTTTGACTTTGGGCCTGGAATCCCGTTCGGGGGTTGACTCTTGATTTTCCAAGAGTCAACTGTCTCTCGTTGGGGTACGGAACCCATATTTTGACGAAGACCCTCGTAGCCCTTGACCCTAGGCACTTTCTCAAACATTTCGCAGACTTGGGGGACGTGCCTTTTGACCCAGGGGATGGACTTTGACCAAAATAAAAAAGGCCTTTGACCAAAATAAAAAAATCAAATTAAGGCACGGCCCTTCAACCCCCCCTTCTCCCCCTCCTTCCTATCAACAACACTGAAAATTGGAAAAGAGCCTGCATTTGCGCTGATGTGTTGGTCGACGCTGAATCATTCCAGGTTGTGGCTGAACGGTGGCCACTCGGACTTATTGACCGATACCCTAAACCCCAATCCCTAAACCCTAAGCCCTAAACCCGAAGTCCTATGACCTAACCCTAAGCCCTAAACCCTAAAACCTAAAACCTATACCCACTT